TCTGCTTCTTAATGACATTGAACAGCTTTTCTAAAATTAAACAAGTGTTTTGCACAATTTAGTTCTAGGCAAGAGTCCAAAAGATATGGTTCATGTCAGATACTGTTGGCTTGTAGCCACTTACCTTGTTGGTGTTGCCTTCTTGCCATTTTTTGTCTACTTGCTTAGAATTTAATTTATACGAATCTTACATCACCATGGCACAATATTTTATGGCAAGAATTTCTTGGAGAAGTTTGATTTTTCTCTTTGTCTGAATAAACACTAGTACAAAATTGCCATGTGTTATCGTTTTATAGTTTGATATATGTTATGTGTTGGGTGAGAGTCTTTGTGACTGCTAATTGTGTTCTGATTTAATACTTATGCCTGCACCCTTGGGATTAATTCCTACTTAAGGAACTTAAAAGCATAGATTGGATCAAGTGAAATTTTTGTTTAGTGCTTCAAAATGGCACTGTCAGTGATGATAGGCAGATGATCTCTTTTACACACAGTGGATTTCAGAAACTCATAGAAAAAAAATGTGCTTTCTGTTGAAGGAAAAGAGACAAGGAAGACATAATACCTGTCTAGACTTTATCCTGAAAAAAAATCAGATATATGTCATTTATGAAAATAACTTCTACAGTAGCTATTTCTTTTCTGTTGGGTTAATTATTCTCTCCGGTGTACTCACCAAAATTCTGTAGGCAGTAAGAGCAGCTGTTTCTATGTACTGGCTTGCATTTGTGATTGGACTGCCTTTAATAATTATTTGCTTTCTTTGTTGAATTTCAGTACACATCAGTCAGTAAGAATGATATTTATTATCCTCATTGCTTTACATCTCATAAGCTCATACAATTGAAAATACCTGCTTTCCTCACAAATAAGTGAGAAAGAAGTGGCTTATATCAGGGTCCCTCTTGTCCTAGATTTCATTTCACAGAATTCCAGAGTTGTAAGGATGTTTAGATTAACAACTCAGCTTTATATGAAATTTATATGACTAAATAATTTAGAGACTGTTTGACTTTTAAACATGGCTGTTGAATCCCTTGATATCTTCTCAAGCAAGGCAGCATTCAGTAAGAGACTGAGTTTCAGACTTTGGCTATTAAAGTCAAAATAAATTCACTTTATTTATGTGGATAAGAAAAAAAAAGCAAATTTTTCCTAAAGATGCCATTAAGAGATACTAGCTATTTATACAACACAGATTTGTCCCATATACTGGTAAACATCTCCATCATTTTGATTAACTGTTCCTACCTGATTTTCACTACCTTTGCGGATACCTATGTTTTACCTATAATCACTACACACTGCCAAATGAGGAAAGCAGAGCACACACAGTGGGACTCAGCTCCGTTCAGCAGGTTGAGCTGGCAGAACTGCAAGTTAAAGTCAGGCTGCCTGCCAGGACAAGGACATTGAATGGGGCAGACAGACAGCTCACCAGAGCTGCCACATTCATTGCATTACAGGGATTTGCCTGTAATAAAATGCCTGAGGTTCCTGTCCCAGGGTCAAGATAAATGCCTTCATACATTTCACTCAATGGTGTCTGTGTTTGTATGTGTTCACCATGCTTCTCATGAGAACCAGGTATCTAACACATGTCATATCTCCTATATTTGTGTATATTCATATGCCTATAACAGCCTAGGATACACAGATATTCTAAAGTTTGTTTTGGTTTTAGTTTCATTTATGAGGTGGCTGCCATCCTTACTTGCACTCATCACTAGAATCCCAGTTGTTACTGCAGAAGGTCCCCCTCTATGCAAGCCCAGAGCCTGCTAGCATTATTAACACTGCTGACAATATCCTTTCTGGAGCGGCTGCTTGGTGTGCTACTGGTGCTGTCCCAGATGCAGCTGCCTAGCAACCTCTCTTGCAAAGCTGCCGGCTGGAGCTCTTGGCTAGCACCTTTTCTCATCTGGGTTTTCTTTCTTCTATTACCAGACTATGTATCAAAAGCTATCTCATGCCTTTTGCATTCAGGAATGCTGGCAAGGACAGTTTGTCACCTGTCTGACTCTCATTATCAGTTCATCCTTTTTTTTTTACTTTTTATCTTTATCTTTCTTTTACTTTTTTTATCTTTTTTACCTTTTTGTGTATGTGTGTGTGTGTTATGTGTCAGGGGACAGTAGGCTATACAGTGCTTGAGTGTATCACACTGCAGTAGTGCCAGTCATTGCTTTCTGGAACTCATGAGAAGTATAAGACAGGATGAGTTTCTATGGCCTACTTGTACCAACAGCAGAGATTTCACTAGAAAACACAAAGTGAGAAGAAACACAAAGCAGTTATCTGAGCCTATTAATATTCATAACAGGAGCTTCTTCCTGAGGCATATCTCTATTTTTATAGAGTAATTTGGAGTATTTTTCAAAGCACAGGCAATTAACATTGACTTATTTTTTTTAATGACACTACTTAAGGTACCCAAATGTGAGCCCAAGTTGTCCTTTCCTAACATCCTCTAAGTGAATACCCCAGCACATGTAATTCACTTTCTCAGGTGGAAAATGCTTTGTCTGGCATCTCCGTTCTCTCAGTTTCCATTCTCTGAACTTACCTGAGTGGTGATTGATATACGTTCTGAAACAGGGAAATATATTTCTAGAAAATATTTTTATTACCATTACTTTTATTTGATGGCAGTGTCCTATTGTGCTAGACATTGCACGGACACATGGCATTAAGTTTTCAAATTGCTCAGGATTGGAAGTAGCCTGTAAAATTAGGGTGGAGTGTTTCCAAGTTCTCAGAGGTCAGCAATGAATTGAGCCTGACGTTTGGATCTCAGAAAGCTCATTGTCTCTGATTGCTTTCCAAAACACAGTAACTGATCACTACAGCATGTACCCTCAATACTGGACCTGAATACTGATTTGTGTCTGTGCAAGGGGCACCACCACCATGGAGCTGGGCCATACCTCCTCTCTCCTTTGGGACTGGAAAGCACCAACTTCAAGGAGTTGGAAATACCTATGTTCACTATTTCAGATGTGATCCAAGCACATGAACTTGTCAAGTGGTTCTCCAGGGGTGACCCTAAGAAAGGAATAGCTTGCAGACAGAATAGTTTGGGTTCCACACTTGCCAGATTTGCAAAGCACATACATACAGCTGTGCCACTCCTACTTACCAGATGAGAAACTGAGGCACAGAGGGATTATGTGATCTGTTCCAAGCCAGAGAGTTTATTGTAAAGCTAGCCACAGTACTAATTTTTGTCCAGATTTCCTGTTTCTATCAGTAATTGGATTCCTAATTATTTTCCTTCTTTTTCATTTTCATAAAATTCTATGCATAAATCATATGCTGAATTTACTTTGGAGGTACACCCTTCATGTATTCATTTACTTCTGGGCCCTTGCTGTGGCTCGCATTTCAGGTGAGCTGACAGTAATTGCAGGAGTTTCCAGGACTGGCTTTTGTTTTAAGATCCTCTCCCCTACGGTCCTTTCTGCAGTTCCAGAATACTGTTTTTTTCCATCTTTCATTACTGTGACACCTCACTGAGGGCAGAAATTTGATGTTGCCACTAATGCTGCTGTGAGGATTAGCTGGCAGCTGAGAGACTGATGGCCCCACCACTCTTCCCAAGTGGAGAAAACTTCCAGCACTGCCAGAGAAAATGTATCTCATGCATTGCTGAGAGGAGGTGGGAGGTCTGCTCTCTGCTTTGTACCCAGAAAGTCCATCACCAGCTTCTGAGGGGAGAGCAGAGAGAAAAGAGTAGAGGTTTGAAATATACCACCCAGGTGCAAAATGAATGGAAGAAACAATACAAAATGAATTTTCTCATAACAGCTACGGAAAAGAAAAAATGCAGCAGCTGATAAATGCTCTTGTTTTGTAAGAGCAACACTCTTTGTCAGCTCCATGTTTTCAATTCTCAAAACCTCAGAGAATTGCTGTAAATGATGTGCTCAGGATTTTTAGGAGCTATGCTCTCTCTTACATTTGATTCTCTTCCTTATCTTATTTATGTGAGGTTACACACACACATTATTTCAGCCCCAAGAGAAATAGGCTGGCTCATTTCTCTAGTTTTCAGAACTAGATGAAAAGGAGACTCCATAGTCTATATACTATTTAAGGCTCAAAAAATAGTCTCAGCACATTAAAGATCCTCCTGAGATAATGAATCTGTCATTGTTTTCAGAGAGCAATGTAGAACATTATTTTTAAACCAGTAACTTTCAAAAGAAAATCAGGACTGTCTTCTTAAAATTAAAATGAAATGTTTGACTGCCATTACACAGAGGACCCTTTTTTCACTGTAAATCACAGTCTGTTAGAATGCATATGGTAGAGACCAGCGTGATTGCTCCCAAAACAGTATAAGTTTTCCTGGTTGCAGTCCTTTCCAGTACAACCATTGAGAGCTTCCCCCAAAGCAGTGTGGCTGCAGAAGGATCACTGGGGTGGTGTAAAGCCTGGAAAGTGGAGGAGTTCTTTGTTCCCATCACTTGGGAATAAGGAAGAGAAAAGCCCACACATGCCCAAAGACTGCAAAAGGAGAATGAAAAGTGCTCCCTCAACTAGGCTGAATTTGTGTGTTTTTCCTGTTTCTGAAGATATTTCAGTTTAAAAATGCAGAACAAAATGAACAGAACAAAGTTCAGGTTTTTTTTGCTTGGGATCATTCTATCAAACGTGAACAAAATGTTGATGTTCTCCTAAACACAGACATCCAAATTCTGCCTCTGGTGAGGAGTCACCCTGGCCTCACTCTGCAGTCTGCACTGGTGAGATTAAAAAGCGTTTGACGGTTTGCTTTTTTTTTCTTTTCCTTTTTGAAATGAAGAAAAAGTCTCTATATTGTGGATATGACTTTTGAGAAGCCTGAGTTCCTCAGCCCTGTCTCGATTACTTGAGCTAGCTACGGTAGCAGTAGCCCTGAATATTGGCAATGCACCACAGCGCAGAAAGCGTGGTTAGTAAAATTAATTGCTTAAAAACATTAAAAATAGTATTTCTTTTTTTTTATTTTGCAGGCTACTAAACTTATTCCATTTGGAAAATTTCCGGAAGATTGAACTTGTAGTACAGGTAGGAAAAGTTGGCTTTGCCAATGAATTTTGCTTAGCCACAATGTTAGCATGTCCATGTTTTCTAAGCTGACTGGATTGTCTTCAGAGATGTATCTCTGTGTTTTTAGAAGTTAAGGATGTATCAGGAGTAGTATACAGAGGTGCGCTTCTGTTTAACCTCTAAACTGATAGTATGAAAAGTTGTATCTGTCTGGCTATATATGAAAAATCCAGAGAATATGTTCCACAGCTCTGTGAGCAGTGCTCCCTGGTTTGAGAAGCATGAGCATCCCAACATTGAGACCAAGAGCCTTCTTAATTAAACATTATGCTTTCTTTCATTGATATTTTTTGCGGCTCATAAAAATCATGAAAATCAGGATCAAGTGGCCATTTTATTGAGAGTTCAGATCCATAATGTTCAGACCCATGGAAGTCTCCTACCCAAACACACAAGTCATGCTGCACTACCAGGAAACACCTCTACGGATTTGTATATGCAATGCTCAATTATTTTTAATGGAGTGTGAATACAAATTGCTAGATGTCTCTGAGAATCTCATCACTGTTCTTTTGGGAAATCTGCCACTAAGGATGATGGTAAATGTCACTGGTTTTGTTTGGAGAGGGATGGATGGGAACTGATTTTTCCAAACACCTGGCAGAGTGGACTGACGTAGAGGAAGCATGTTCCGAACATTAAAATTTGTCTGTACAACACAAAGTTCTGAAAACTATGAACTTCCAAATCACGTAGTGTCAACTTGTAGTTTTTGATACTGTGGTATTAATTACTACAACAGCTTGCTGAGTTTCTGTATAAATCGCTTTTGCAAGCAAAATTTTATTTTATATATGAGATGTAGCTCTCTTGATTTTGTCCTTCTGTCACTCTCCTTATCTCCTCCTCCAAACAGATGGTCCTATAAAGTGATATGTCATTTGTTCCTGAACTTTTCTTAATGATTGTGGTGGCATTTCTAATATTTCTTGGAGGTAAAAGCAGCAGCTGCCACTGTAATTGTTTCACTAAGTGAATGTAATATGTTTTACCATCAAAAAAAGTCCAGCTGTGATGTTGTAATTGTTGCTTACCTTGATTAGCTTCAGAGCTAGACATTCACCCTGGTAAGTTTGGATACTCCCCATTGCTGAATCCATGGTTTGTTCAAAGCTCAGTTCTTATGCTATTTGTTATGCATGATATCAAATATTCCACAGATATGAATGTTTTTTCTAGAACAACTGATTAGGAGACATTTTGACTTTATTTCTTTGCCCTGTTTTAAATTCTCCACCTCAAGTAGCCCTTATGCAGATTCACGATAGAGAATTTATGACATCATTTTGTATATCTTGAACTATCATTTTCTTGTCCCACAAATAGTCTATTTTTCTGCTATTGATTCACCTTTTCCAGCTCTCAGTGATCCAGCGTCCTTGTTTGTATCTTCATCTGTCTAATCTCCTCTGGACATAAAGTTTCATTTTTGAAAACACAGATATGTTCTCCTGCAAATATCAGAATGGAATTTAGAAGGTGATGTTTACCTTCTTCATCTAACCAAAACCACTTAGAACAGGCTATCTCTGTGTTCGCTGAAGATCCTACAGAAAATATTCTATATGATCTCGATGTGGTGTGTGTAATGTATGTCCATATATTATTTGTTTAAATGGTGAATTTATAGGTGTGAAGAAATTCATTTAAACTCAGGTATTAAGCTTATCTAATGGGCAGCTAATCCATGGTAAGTACAAGGGCCAGGAAAGGTAACTACAAGATATTGTTCTTGGTGACAAATTAGTGATGCTGTCTTGTCTTTTCGGTTTCTTCAGTCATCATAATTTAGTTTTGACAATTGAATTCATCAAAGAAAATTCCCTTTTTTAAAAATTTGCTGTTCAGCCACTACTCACTGATAATATTAGAAAGAAATTAGGTATACTAACTGCAGCATTCACTTCTTTTCACCATTGAAAACATTAGTGTCTGTTTTTGGTTTTGATCCAAATTGTAGTGTGGTGAATGCCAGGCTTCTATTTCTCTTTTATTCCTTGCAACCTGACAAATTATCGCAATATGACAACTTTAAATCAAAGCAGAGTTCAGATTTGTTTCTTATACCTACACATGGTAAAATACACACATATATATATATTTATAATATTTACTGTTTATTTTATTTCCACATTAAGCCCAGACAGAACAGTGGAAAGCTAACTATCCCTCTCCCAGTGTCTCATCTTTCAAATTACCCCTGAAAGCCAAGTACTGGTGATCTTTTTCTGGGGATTTTTATACTGACATACCTGATTCAATTGTTCCTACCAGAGTATTCAGAAAACCTTAGAAAAAAAGGAAGGACTGCTTTCATACTTTTTTTTGGAGTAGTCTTGGAGGAGTACTCAGAAAAAAATGCGTCAAATTTAAGAAGACCCCCAATGAGGAAGGTTGACCTGTTCAGTGGGAAAGAAATCAAAACCAATGGAACCCAAGGGACAAAAAAAAAAAACAAACAAAAGAAAGAGGCCAGACAAAAGAGAACATTCACCAATATCCCCGTCAAGTCAAAATCAGAAGGATGACTCTTATCCCAGTACCAACTATTAAAGCATCTTTCATCCAGGTTAAATATTAGATTGGCTTCTAACAATGCGATCAAGTCATAGAACAGAGTCACTACTTTTGATATGTTAAGAAATCCATGCATCTGAAGTACTTTGGTATACTAGGGATTTAAAAAGTTACAAAGAAAATTATTACTGTAAAATTAATTTCTACATATTACAGGAAAACAAAAGTGTTGCATGTCTCTTTAACTGGTCCAAAGGCAATACTGACTGACTAGCGCATGTGTATCTATGCATACAGAGCAGGTGAGGGGTCTCTGCTGTAGAGGCTAGCAAAAATGAAAAATAAACCTTGTAAAATCCACAGAGTACATACTCCCATATTTAAGTGATTCATTTTGAATCACTTGAAGAAGCAACTGTTTCATCCAGTTCTCCATGATCTGATCGCATATGATCGTAAATCAGCCCTCCCACCAGCCTTTGTCTTTGCACTGATAACAACAGCTGGTTACAAAAAGATCCATCTTTTCCTGGAAATGCTTTCATTTAAATGATTCATAGAATCATGTTTATTATGTGAAAAAGTGGAAACATTAATTTGTACAATTTATTTATTTTGACTTTCATTCCTATTCAGAATGAAAATAAATGTTGGAATTTGATGTGGAGGAAACATTCCATTTTCTGGCCAGCCCTAGGTTGCCATCAATTATTCACAATAATACCTTATAACTTCTGAACATTTTTCTTAGAACAACACTTCAAATTTGATGGAGGTATCTATAATAAACAGAATGGCAAAGACATGTTTGGTTGGCTCAGGGACAACAGAAGAATGAGTTGCAAACAGATAGTTGATACATGCCATGACCTCAGCGGAGAGGTGACAGTTAATGTGAGATTTCTTTCTGAAAGAATAATTCTAGACCACTCAAATGGGGTAGGTGAGTCGTTCTGCCAAAAACCGTTAGAGCGTTTACAGGGGAAGAGATTCAATACATACTGGCACAGGCATGATGGCAGTAATAGATACAAGCAACTAAAGTGCCTATAGAACAAAACAGCAGGGAATGTTTGCCCAGAGCGTGTAACAGTGGACCAGCAACATGCAGTGATCCAAACAATTTACCTCTAAGGAAATGAGACTGGTAAGGTTGGTTTTTTTCAGTTTTAGTATAGTTTGGTTGGCTGGTTGGTTGTCTTTACAGGTCTTTAACTAGTATGTTGGTAAATATTCATGGAGGATGCAAGCTTGTCATATCAGACATTATGGACTGTTTTGGGAAGCAGCTTGCTTCCATGTGCAAAATATTCTGCCTGTAATGACCTGTGTAAGGGATTAGCATTTTCTTAGCTTTGATACCACGGCAATATTTTCAAGCAACTGATCTGATATCCATGCAGTCGTTGCAGCCCTCAGCTGAATTTCGAAAAGATTTTGTGCAGCAGGACTTCCTGTGCTTATGCAGCAAACTCCCTTCTTGCTTATCTACACACATCCTTGGACTGTGCTTTTTCAAAATGAGGTCAAATATACAGAAAGGCACATGGCAATTAGAAAAAAATAAACATTTAAATTATTCCAGTAGCATCATAGTTCTTGAAATGAAACTGTCAGAATCGGAACCATAAGGGAGATATAAAGGCATTTAGTTGCTTTATTCCTATTGAGATAGCCACCTGAATATCCTAAAAAAAGCTGACCCTCTCACTTCAAAAAAGAGCTTCATTAAGCTCTAAGTGCAATATGCAAATTGCCTTTCTAACCTCTTCCTTTTTACTGTCTGCTTTTGCATAATGTAACAACAGGGCTTTGAGATTCATGCTGTGCTCTCTTTCTGCTGGGCAATCCATATAGCTACTGACTTTGCAGAACAATGATAAAGATTTTTTTTTCCCCTGTAAGACCAGATCATTTACATAGCAGATGTCTTTCTTTTTAAAGAAAAAGGCAGAGTACTTATAATTTTGAATAAAAATCTACTCGGATTTTTTCCGTCCGTTCACTATATGCCAATTCAAATATATCAAGTAAAAGACTCCCCTGGGAGAAAGGCTTAATAACCCTTTTTTAACAAAATCAAATTTGAGATGTAATGATGTTAGGAAAAAAGTTTATTTTAACATAAACATGTTAAAAGAAAACTGTAAGCAGATCATTGATCTTTTGGTTGAGATTTGCTTTAAGGAACCTTTCTGGTTTTGAAAGCTAATAAATTGCTGCCAATAAAAAATAACATGCAGAAATAAAAAGGCATTATAGATTCTCTCAGGCTTTCCAAAGTCCACTCAAGATGGAGGGAACTTTTGTCTGACTTCAATGAGCAGTATCTCAGATTTGAAGCACGAACGGATTTCAGAAATAGTGTTACCTGCTCCTTTAAAGGGGAAGAGTCGGACCCTTTCCCTGCTTCCTCTTCTTTCCTTGGGAAGATCCAAGCA